GACAAGTAATTGTGTATGAGTTAATAAAAGACGTGAATTCACAATGAAACAAAAAAACTATTGTCTGCTCCAGATTCTGAGTTCTGTGAAGATCTGGATTTTATCTGAATCATTTTTATATGCCCAGTGCCTAGCATTGTGTCTGGCATATAGTAGGCATTCAATAAATGTTTGCTGAATAAATATGTAATATCTATGAAACTGTCCTTGCCCTGGGTGGTGAAGGGCATACAATGACATTTGACAGTATGCCTATCCCAGAATAATTTGTAATTTCATTGAAAACATAAGAAATGACACCCAAGAAGACATTAGAGAACAAAATAGGTGTAGTCAGATGCCATACTGTGTGGTTTCAATTCTGAGTGCTGAAGGGGAAAAGAAGGATGACATCTTTGTGGTGCTAGAGGGGGCCTTGGGGATGTGAAGCCCCAAGTGTGAGATGAAGTGTCACCCTTTGGTGGGCTCCACAACAGCTGCTATGCAACAGCATTAGTTGCTCAAATAAATGGAATCAAGGCTGTGCCTTTGATACATTGATGGGCAGAGTGACTCTCCATGGGATCATGAAATCTTAGACGCTTTAGCAAAAAGGGTAATAAAAATGGTTTTGCCAAACAAAAAAGGAAGGGGAAGCCCAGAGCAATTCACCTCTGTTGATTTCAACCAGTGTTCTTTTTGTAAAATTGAATTTGTATAAAATGTTTAAAGGACCTTAATGCATGAGTCAAATTTTAATAATTCATCACTTTAATGTCTATGGTTGAAGGTTCAAATTTTATAAGCAATTTAATTTCTAAACCTGATATCTCTATTTTCTCATAAAGTAAAATGCGATGGGATTAAAGGCAGAACAGACTCACCCTGCCTGGTTTGTGATTGGGAAGGTCACTCATGGTCATAACTGCCTCCTTGTTTATGTGCTATTGCCCTGCTGAGACATTTCTTGAAACACTTTATACTGTACTCACCCAAGGTTTCTAAAGCTGTCCATGTCAATTGCTTTTGTTCTTACCCTAACACATGTTGTCACATGAGAAACATAACGCCTTTCTTGTGAAGATAAGGGGAGCTATTATGGGTGCCTACCAAGACTTGGAGATTAAGGATAACTTCTGTGACAGTCGGGTCATGGCAAGAAGAATGCACCCCAGATGGATCAAATGAAGACACTTGAAAGAAAGAGATACAATATGAGCAGAGCGTAGGGTACCAACAGTGGGTGTTAGGGCACTCAGAGACTAGCATCTGAGGGATGGAGGGAGGGAAGATGTTATTACCCTTAAATCTGAAGGGACAAGGGGAGTAAATAGTGTTACTGGAGCCCAGTGTGAGCTGGACCAGGAAGAAAGGAATCGCCCAACAGGAGCTGTAGGTATGGAGGGAGGCAAATGCTGCCAAAGACAGGCCATGACATCAGGGAGAGCGGGGGAAGAAAAGATTTGATCTCACTCTCTTCCTGTCCCCAGTTTCCTGGTAGCATCTCCACTAGCCACACCCCACCAGAAATGAGCTGTCAAGGGAGGCCGGGAGGTGGATCCACAGAGGTCAGACTTTGCGGTGTGGAGTAGGGCAGAGAAGAGCAGAGACCAGATCTGAGTAGCGTGTGTGTGTGTTGCCAGGGAGCAGGGGGTGGCCAGCCAGGATGCTCTGAGAGCCTAGCTAAAAAAACCCGCACATGATGGATGCCTTCAGCTGCTCCTAAGCAACCCTTGTCAGGTAACCAAAAGGTTCAGCAGACCCAGGACACCAATCACAGTGCTTTGGATATTATTCTTTTTTTTTTTTTTTTTTTTTTTTTTGAGACAGCGTCTCACTCCGTCACCAGGCTCCAGGCTGGAGTGCAATGGCACGACCTCGGCTCACCGCAACCTCCGCCTCCCGGGTTTGAGCAATTCTCCTGCCTCAGCCTCCCGAGTAGCTGGGACTACAGGCGCGCGCCACCAGGCCCAGCTAATTTTTTTGTATTTTCAGTGCAGACGGGGTTTCACCATGTTGGCCAGGATGGTCTCGCTCTCTCGACCTCGTGATCCACCCGCCTCGGCCTCCCAAAGTGCTGGGATTACAGGCGTGAGCCACCGCGCCCGGCCTGGATATTATTCTTGAGAAGCAGAAGTGGAATATTATTTCAGTTAAGGAACCCTGATTGAAAATTAATGGCGTTGTACCCAATCTGGGAATTGTAAGAACTCTCAGTTGGAGTGTGGACAGCTAGGGTGAGAAGGCTCAGAGTGCAAGAATTTGACAATGTGTCTCCAACTCCATCCAGGGGAGAGGGTAGACTCACCATAAATCCCCTTCAAGCTTGCCCCCAAAGGGGAGTGACTGCATTAGACTGTCATAGCTCAGTGATATCTGCCATGAAGACCATTCATTTCCTCCCATGGCTCTGATTCTAGAGTCCCCAGAAGCCTTGTGTTTCACATTTGACTTCTCATAAAGCTCTGTGCTTATTAGCTCACAAGAGGGGCTTGATTCCCTCGACAGCTGTAGCTCATTGTAAATTAATAAATTGGTGTCTGGTGTATCGAATGAACTAGAGCATTTTGAATCAGGGCTTTCTCTACATCTCCTCAGTCACCTTCTGCTTCATCTTCAGGAACCAGTCACACCCAGAGTCAATAGCTCAGTGTCTGAAACTCCAATGAGGACCAGATTCTGAAGCGAGGACTTTGCCTTTCTGCACAACCTCACCAGGCAGCCTCACCAGAACATGTCTTTTTTTTTTGAGACGAAGTTTTGCTCTGGTTACCCAGGCTGGAATGCAATGGGGCGATCTCAGCTCACTGCAACCTCCGCCTCCTGGGTTCAGGCAATTCTCCTGCCTCAACCTCCTGAGGAGCTGGGATTACAGCACGCGCCACCATGCCCAGCTAATTTTTTTGTATTTTTTTAGTAGAGGCGGGGTTTCACCATATTGACCAGGATGGTCTCGATCTCTTGACCTCGTGATCCACCCGCCTCGGCCTCCCAAAGTGCTGGGATTACAGGCATAAGCCACCGTGCCCGGCCTCAGAGCACATCTCTACTTCACTTTTCCAGCTGCAGTGGGATGCTTACAGGCCATACTCCACCTGCCTTTTCAATGCTTCTTTGTAGCAGATTTTAGAACCCAAGGTGGTAAGGGGACTGTGAGACTAGCCATTCCACTCCCCTCTTTCTCCACACCAAAATCATTTTTTTTTTTGGATAGGAAGGAGCATGATGAGTGGATGAATGCATGCATGAATGGACGCATGGATCGATAACGGTGCATGGATGGGGTCATGGCTACAAAGATGAAGGCATGGATGCATAGATGTTGCATGGATGTATGGATGGTGCTGTGGCCAGCACTGCTCTTTAACATGTACTCTTGGCTGGGTGTGGTGGCTCACACCTGTAATCCAAGCACTTTGGAGGCCAAGGCAGGCAGATCACCTGAGGTCGGGAGTTCAAGACCAGCCTGACCAATGTGGTGAAACCCCGTCTTAAAAAAAAAAAAACACACTCTGTTATTGTGGCAGAGGCTTGGGTGCCCTGTGCCTCCACTGCAGCCATGTTGCATAATTCCCATGCATATTGATAGCACTTTGAGAGTCTAGGCAGATGGATAACCTGAGGTCAGGAGTTCAAGACCAGTCTGGTCAACATGGTGAAACTCTGTCTCTACTAAAAATCAAAAATTAGCCAGGTGTGGTGGTGGGTGCCTGTAATCCCAGCTACTTGGGAGGCTGAGGCAGGAGAATCAGTTGAACCTGAGAGACAGAGTTTGCAGTGAGCCGAGATCCCACCATTGCACTCCAACCTGGGCGACAAGAGCAAAATTCCATCTCAAAATAAATAAATAATCCAAGAATCTTGCTCATCAGTCAATATGAATTAGGCCTTGGCTCAACCAGCCTTGCTGCTTTCTGGACCTCGATTTTTGTTGGGGAAGAAAACCCAATCTTCATTTCACTGTGGAAGGTATGGTGAGTATTCAGCTGTGTTGCTGTGGCTCCCCAACCCCATTTCCACTGGAGCATACAGAAGCAGAGAGCTGATGATGATAGTAATTACCTGGAAATTATATGTTTATTGGTTTTCCACTAGTGGATACTACTATTTTTGAACTCTTCATTGTTATGCTCTCGTGACAGGAGTCATACTGTCTCTACTCAGATGTCCCCTCCAATCTCATGATTAGCAGGCTTTTTACATGGGGCCATTGCTGGCAGCATGGGACACCTCCAGGGTATGGAAGAGAGGTTTGACTCAGTCCATACAGGAGGCCCCAGAAGTCTCTATCACCCACATTCACAGGCACCTCTGGTCTAAATGAAGCATATTCCTATCTTTGCCCTTGGATACTGAGAACAGTATCCAATAGGAAGGGGCCTCTTCTGTCACTGGATATATTTATGTACCCTTCAGTTATGTGCCTTGGTTAATTGTTCCTTTTCTTTCTTTTTTTTCTTTTTGAGACGGAGTCTCTGTCGCCCAGGCTGGAGTGCAGTGGTGCAATCTCAGCTCACTGCAACCTCCACCTTCCAGGTTCAAGCGATTCTCCTGCCTCAGCCTCCCAAGTAGCTGGGATTACAGGCATGCGCCACCACACCCGGCTAATTTTTGTATTTTCAGTAGAGACGGGTTTCACCATATTGGCCAGGTGGTCTCAATCTCCTGACCTCGTGATCCGCCCACCTTGCCCTCTCAAAGTGCTGTGATTACAGGTGTAAGCCACAGCGCCCAGCCTGATTGTCTCTTTTCTACCAGCTCTTCTTAGAACAGAGATTCTGAGCCTCGCCTGTAATTATAGTGAGGAAATATTTCTATGAGCTTTTAAAAGGGAAGCCTAAACTGGGTCAAAATGTTGAAGGTGCTAGGTAAGGGAGCAAGGGTCAATACTGGCTTTATTCTGATGAGTCGGTTGCCAGGGGCTTTGAGTGTCTTTTGCCAAACTTGAGGGCCCTTGTCTGAAATTCCACCATCGGCACTTCATCCTATTGTTATTATTGTTACAGCTGAGAGGGATAGACATCTGTGGAGGATTTTACAGTCGGCAAAGTGCTTTTTACGTGAAGTACATCACTTATCTTCACTGCAAATGCTGAGGGCAAGCCAGATGACTTGGCCCCACTTACCGTGCTGTTAAAATGCATCTCTCTGCTCCTCCAGAAGAGCCACAGGGCCCTTGTTTCCAGTCATGTTTATGCTTTGCTGAGGGTAAAAGCTAGCTTGGGCGAGGCATGGTGGCTCACGCCTGTAATCCCAGCATTTTGGGAGGCGAGAGGCCAGGAGTTTGAGACTAGTCTGAGCAACACAGCATGATCCCATCTGTATTTACCGAAAACCACAAAATGAACAAAAGCTGGCTTACAGTAGTAGTAGCTCCTGTCTCATTCACAGGAAGATCTCAGCACTTAGCAAAATGCCCGACACAGGGTAGAATACAAGAAACGTTTATTGAGAGAAAGAATGCTGGCATCTAGCATAGGAACTTTCTTCCTTTTTAAATAAAAAGGAAAAACTTTATTTTTTATTTTAATAGCTTCTGGGCTACAAGTGGTTTTTGGTTACATGGATTTATTCTATTGTGGTGAATTCTGAGATTTTAGTAGCATAGGAATTCAGGTGACCACTGCTCATTTACAGGCCCTCTCCCTGTTCAGGACGTTCTCAGATCCAGGCCTTTGCAGATCCCATCTACTTGGAACTCCCTCCTGTTTATCTAAAAATGTCCATCAGCTTTGACATGAATGCTACTAACTTAGAGACCCTCCCAGGGCTACTGACCCATAGCGATCCTTTCTTTTCTGGACTCCTTCGGCCCCTCCTCACCCAAATCATCAGTGCGACTCACTTAGCCTTGATATGAGATTGGAACCAATTAATTACCTGCTCAACTACCTCATGTGAGAAACAGGTCTAAAGAGGTAAACAGCCAGGCCCAGTGAGTCAATGGCAAGCAGGGTTGCACCCGGAATCCAGGTCTTTTATTAGCCGCCCAGTGTACTTCCCATTATACCAAGAATAGGAAATAGGTTTCACCATGGTTATCACCTTTGATCAAGCTGTGGTGGCCGCCGAGAGTGATGGACTGAGAATGCCGGTGAGAGATCAGCCCAGGATGGTGGGAGAGTGCTGCGATCGCTTAATCATGTCTGCCAATCTGTGGAAATGAAGTGTTTGGTGGGGACAGTGGCTCACATTGAAAACTTGAGACCTCCGTTTAGCCTGACCTGAATTCTCCACTGCAATGATGCTGTTGGTTGTCCCTTCACCCTCCCAACCCCAGGCAAATTGATTCAGGGCAACTCCCTTTTGCTCACACTGAAAAGAAAGCATAAGCTTATTTTTTTTTCATCTGAGATGGAGTCTCGCTCTGTTGCCCAAGCTGGAGTGCAGCGGTGCCATCTTGGCTCAGTGCAACCTCTGCCCCCCAGGTTCATGCGATTCTCTTGCCTCAGCCTCCCAAGTAGCTGGGACGACAGGCGTGCACCACCAGGCCCGGTTAATTTTTGTATTTTTAGTAGAGATGGAGTTCCACCATGTTGGCCAGGCTGGTCTCAAACTCCTGACCTCAAGTGATTGCTCACCTCAGCCTCCCAAAGTGTTGACATTACAGGCGTGAGCCACTGCACCCACCCAAGAAAGTGTAATCTGAAGGTCAGTGCTGGGATTAGGTCAGAACTTACCTTCTACCCTGCTTGGCGTTATGGATGTAGTGTTTGTCACTTGTCCCCCAACTCCAGAGTCCACTTCAAAGATTTGACTGTGTGGTTATACAATTAGAAGAGCAACCCTTAAGAAACAAGCAGCTCAGTAATGAAAATCTTCAATCCCGGTGGGACCGGGCAAGCCTATTGTCGAGCTTTCAAGGCAGAAGGAGGCTTAAGGAAAGGATCGAGCACATTGCTGCTAAGAGTGTGCAATAGCAACTCCCCTGAGAGAGAAGCCCGTTCGCAAACTAGCAGACTATTAGGAGATGTTTTCCTTCTTTTTTGTAGATTTGGAAGAGTGGTTGCAAACACAGATGCCTCTAAGGGCCACACAGGTAATATTAATAAGTGAATAGGCCTGGGTGTAGAGCGGCAGGGGGTCGGGGGGACTGTGGCTGATTTCCATTACCTGTCCTACCTAAAGGATTTCCAATTCTCAGGTATTTTTAAAAACATAGTACTGGCCAAATAGAAGATGTTTGCAGGCTTTGTTTGGCTCTAGGACTTTAGACTGAAAACATTAGAGATGTGTTATCTAATCTATCCATTACTTAATGGCAAAAACTGCAATTACTTTTGCACCAACCTAATACATTACAAGTTATGCACTGGTGGCTGGGCACGGTGGCTCACACCTGTAATCCCATCACTTTAGGAGGCCGAGGCAGGCAGATCACTTGAGGTCAGGAGATCAAGACTAGCCTGGCCAACAATGATGAAACGCTGTTTCTACTAAAAATACAACAGTTAGCCAGGTGTGGTAGCACGTACCTGTAATCCTAGCTAGTCGGGAGGCTAAGGCAGAAGAATCACTTGAACCAGGGAGGCAAAAAGCTTGCAGTGAGCTGAGATTGTGCCACTGTACTCCAGCCTGGGCCACAGGGTGAGACTCCATCTCAAAGTAAAACAAAATAAAATATAAAAGTTATGCACTCGTTCATCGAAAAAATAAAGAAGCATACCTGGTCCTCCGGTGGTAATTCTGTTTTATGGAACAGTGTGCCCCTACTCACTGTGATCGGTCCTGCTGACTCTGGATATCATTCCAGGCTAAACAACTCAGACTTATAGAATGGTGCTGAGGAGAAGGGGATGCTTTGGGGTAAGATCAAGCCCCAGACTTTGAAGGTGAAATTTCCTGAAAAGTGGGAGATGATTTGCAAGGCAGAGTGAAAAGATATGCAAGCCAGATCTGTAAGGCGGAAGTACAAAGGAGGAAGCTTTCTCAGGGAAGCCGGGGGCTGGGGCGCAGGGTTAGGGACTGGCAGGGCCCCAGGAAGGACTGAGACGTGCAGTGTGGCAGCCCTGGTGGTGGTGATGGTGGGGGGTAACTTACTGATGTACTCCGTCAAACTGAAAAAACCTGATATTCGGCATGCAAGCTTAAAATGCTCCCCACTACTACACAGAGATCCCCCCTAGATAGCTTATCGTCCTAGTCTCACCTCATATGACGTTGCTGTAGAGATAAAGAGGTGGGGCAGAGGAGGAGAGTGGCCTCTCCCTCCTGTGAGAAAAAGCACTTGTTCTCAAGAGGATCGGGAGTGAGGACTCGGGTGGTCCTCACAAGCTGTCTAGGGGAGCATCTGGTGTGGAGGAGACCTTGCCATGCAAACCCCCTTGCTTGTAATACACACTGCGGGACTGGAACCCCTGAAGGGGAAGCAGCTGAGGCTTGGGCCAGTTCAGATGGAGCAGCCTGGCAGGCTTCTGCCCTAATCCTCAGAAGGAGCTGGTGGTTTCTTAAATGCTCTGACTCTCTCACAGGAGGGCTGGAAGCCGCGGTTCAGTGGCAACTGTAAAATGCTTGGGAAAATAGAGACCCCTATTAATGCAAAATATCATTATGAACCCGCCCTCCCCACACACTTTTCAACCTCATGAGGTGTTGTCTTTAAGGCCCAGTCTGGTCTAAATTATAAGATGATTAAACTCACCTGACCTGACAAGCGAATGTTCTGCTGAAACCGCAGAGCCTTGAAAAGAGCAGCCTTTGCTTCTCCGCCCCCTCGGGAGGAGCAATCCTGCTGGCCAGTGGGAGGCCAGACTGGGTGGCTGGCAGGGCTGGGTCTGAAGCTCAGCTTCATGAGCAGTGGGCCTTGGCCTCACTGTGCCTCAGTTTCCTCCGTCATGCCTGTTTCGAGGCTGGGTGGAGTAGTCTTCTGGAAGCCTGAAGCTTTGACCATCCTAAAGCATAGTTTCAGGTGAATTTATACCTGGATGGGAAGGAAAGAAAGTCTGTTGGATTTTCAGACGGTGCTTACGCTTTGGGTACAATTAAGCTATTTCCCCAAGGGACAGACCGGAGACAAATGAGCTGTGTCCCTAGTAAGCTAGCATTCTTTTAATATGAGGATGTATTATTTGCCACAGGGGGCAAATGTGAAAACTACCTCTTGATTGGTCACACACTGTGGGCCTCTTGGGAGCCTGGGAGGTCACAGGTCAAGGTCTCGAGCAATGGCTGTCTGCCAGGATTAGGAACAGTGGAAGTGCTTTCCCTCCCGAGGCCCCTTCACTGCGGTCCTGGGGTGCTGCTGATGTCTGTAGCCCTCTGGGCACTCTCTCAAGCAAAGCTGCCCCATTGCTGGAACATCTATCTGCATCCCTACTCAGCGCAGAGGCAGTGAAATCACAGCAAACAACTCCCTTCTACTTCCTGGGGGCTTGTTCTCTGGGACACAGAGAAGAGCATGGTAAACACCAGCTTTCAGGTCTAGCCAGCAGGGCAATGAGAGCTCCTGGGCACCTGAGGATTCAGAATCCCTTCTTTTTTTTTTTTTTTTTCTTTTGAGAGAGAGAGTCTTGCTCTGTCACCAGGCTGGGTACAGTGGTTTGATCTCGGCTCACCGCCACCTCCACCTCCCGGGTTCAAGCAATTCTCTTGCCTCAGACTCCCGAGTAGCTGGGACTACCAGTGCACACCATCACACCAAGCTTATTTTTGTATTTTTAGTAGAGACGGGGTTTCACCATGTTGACCAGGATGATCTCCTTCTCTTGACCTTGTGATCCGCCCGCCTCAGCCTCCCAAAGTGCTGGGATTACAGGAGTGAGCCACCATGCCCAGCAGAACCACTTCTTCTTAATTGAAGAAAACATCTTCCTTCTCTTTGTCTGTAGGATAAAATCCTATATCTGTAGACAAGGCCATACCCAAGGCTTCCCCAAATGGCTCAAGACCACTGGCTGATGCTTATGGATATCCATGACCCTGCCAGCCCATTGCCCAGCCTGTCACACGCTTCCTACCTTTATACATGTGACTCCCTCACTCCCTATTTCCCAGCTGAACACCTGCCTGTTTATTAGTGTCTCTGAGAAAATGTCCCCCCCATTTCCCCCCAAGAGCAAGAGCAAGGCTCTCCCTTGCATACTTAGCCCTCTAATCTGGCTGATCTACCCACATCACACCCCCTGACCAGCATGTAGAAGCAATCCACACAGAAGGAGGCCTGGCATGAAGCATGGTCCTGAGGTCCCTGCTGGGCCATCTTAACCCACTGGTTGCTGGATCATGAGACGGGGCCCAGAGGAGAGACAGGGGTGCATGGGTAGCGAGAAGAACTCAGACGGTTGATGCTGACTCTGCCCTTTTGTGATCAATCTGGCCTCCTTGGTTCCAGAATTTGGAGCTCTGTGCTCCAGCAGTGCAAGCTGCCTCTGCACCATCTGTCTTGTCCTCCTGCCCTAGGACTTTACCTCTGGCTTTGACTTTAATTTTCTGCATGGATTCTGGACATAGTTCAAACTTCTGGTGCTGGTGGCCGAACTCTCTATGAGGAGGAATTCCTTGCCTCTGCCCCAGAATCTCAGGTCCTTACCCAGCTTGCTATCCTCAAGGGACAAGTCGGACTCTCCTCTGTGCATCCCACTTTTTTGTTCTATAACTTATTTTGGATTTTGCTTGTTTGGTTTCTGAGACAGGGTCTCGCTCTGTTGCCCAGGCTGGGGTACAGTAGCATGATCACGGCTCACTGTAGCCTCGACTTTCTGGGCTTAAGTAGTCCTTCTGCCTTAGCCTCCTGAGTAGCTGGGACTACAGGTGTGTGCCACCACACCCAGCTAATTTATTTTTATTTTTTGTAGAGTCAAGGTCTTACTATGTTGCCCATGCTGGTCTTGAACTCCTGGGGTCAAGTGAACCTCCTGCCTGGGCCTCCCAAAGGGCTGGGATTATAGGCATGAATCACCATGCCTGACCTAACGTATCATTTTGTCTTCTATTCGTTTTTGTGACTAAGCCCTGGACTGTGAGCTATTTCAGGACAGAGTGGGTGTCAAAACCTATTTCATAAATTAATGCATGAATAAATTATGATCAGTCTCTGTAGCATTACAAGTGATTGTACAATCACAATCACTTGTAATGCTACAGATGATATTTTAGCCCTGTGAATTACATAGAGAATTGTTTTTATCATCCATGACTTCCATTTCAAGTCTCCCAAGAGGGAGGAAAAAGAATCTCTGCCTGTCTGAGCCCACCTGGAGTCCAAGGAATGTTTTAGTTCTCTTCCTTGTATTTTTCTAAGTTTTGGGGGACTTATCTATTTTTCTACCTACTAAATTCAAATTTGGACTAAGTCTGCTGCTCGGTTGTGCATTTTGAACTTCATGTTAACTTGGTCATGGCCTATTGCTACTGCTTCACATTTCATCTGTCGCGTTTTCTCTTTTATTGCTTCTATAGGTTGTGAGTTAGGATAATAAAGTCAAGATAAAATCGCTCCAAGCCATTTGCAGCTCTGGGAAGCTGGCACAGGGTTGCCAGAAGCTGGCTGGGTGCCACCAAGAGGAAAAAACACTCTTCCGTGTTGCCAGCCTTATCAGGAATCCTCACAGTTTCTTGCCAAAATTTTAGGGAAACGATGATCTACTCCCCTGGAGCTATTCTGTATGTTTCTGTAGGTGGGGAGTCTTTCAACAAGTATTTTCACTAAAAATACCTCTCATGTTTTTTCAGTGGATTAGGTGTGTAACTTGAGCCCCATATTGTGAAATACTGATATTGAGATATTAATCACTGTGCACAGTTACGGAATCACTGTCATCATCTTCAGCCACTCGCACTGACTGAAAGTTTATAAGCTATGGAATCCCATCCAGGACATGCTCATTAAAGAATAATTGGAGATTTTTTTTTTTTTTTTGAGACAGAGTCTCGCTCTGGCGCCAGGCTGGAGTGCAGTGGTGCAATCTGGCTCACTGCGACCTCCGCCTCCCAGGTTTGAGAGATTCTCCTGCCTCAGCCTCCTAAGTAGCTGGGACTACAGGTGCACGCCACCATGCCCAGCAAGTTTTTGTATTTTTAGTAGGGATGGAGTTTCACTATGTTGGCCAAGTAGGTGTCAATCTCCTGACTTTGTGATCCACCCACCTCAGCCTCCCAAAGTGCTGGGGTTACAGACCTGAGCCACCACGCCTGGCCTGGAGATTTTTTTAACTGTGAAAAATGTTCTTTTGGAGGAATGAGGAGTTGGGAAAATAGGAACAGATTATAGAAAGCTGGTAGGGAATCACAACTCTATTATTTTCTTTCTGTTTGTTTTTTCAAGAAGAGGGGTCTCCTTATGGTGCCCCTGCTGGCCTTGAACTCCTGGGCTCAAGTGATCCTCCCACCTCAGCCTGCCAAAGTGCTGGGATTATAGGCATGAGCCACTCTGCCCAGGCTAAAATTTTCTATTTTTTAATGGAGATGGGGTCTCACTATGTTGTCCAGGCTGTTCTCAAACTCCTCCCACTTCAGCCTCCCAAAATGTTGGGATTACAAACATGGGTCACTGTGCCCAGCCCACACAACTGTGTTCTTTTAAATATTTGCTCAACATCTGTTCAATGCCACAACAATGACTCAATTCCGACAATTCAATTTATTTATATGGGTGCGGCTCTTTTCTTATTTGATGGGGGAGTCTGTCTATCTGGCATCGACAGACAATCCACATTTCAAATTCTTGTTTAAGTGTTGGGAAGATGTGGCCATAGCATGTGTTTACTCAGCCAATCAGGTGAACTTCAATCAGCAGTGCCTACTGAGCACTGGCTATGTCTGTGCCCAGTCCTGTGTTTGGAAGGATACAGAGAAGAATAAGTTATCACTTCTCCCTTTTCTTTATGAATTTATAGTCTACTCAGAATTTAGAGACTAGTCAGGCAGTCCTGGGCTTAAATCCTAGTGCTATAACTTACCAGCAAAGTGGAATTTTGGTAAATGATCTAATATCTCTGCACTTGTATCTCCTCCTCTGACAAATGGGGTGATGATAACACCTAACTCATAGGGCTGCTATAGGAATCAAGGGAGATGGTGGGTGTATTCCGTGGGATGCAGCTGTAAGTATTGGCTTTCTTCTCCTTCCCTTAGCCTTTAGTCTGGGGAAATCTCAGTGGAGAGGGTTTCTAGAAGCCCTGTGTGTAAGCCTTCTTCTCAAGGCCAAGGGCCATTACCTCCATGGCCACATGAAAATGGGACCATGGTGGCTGGCTCTAAGTGGAGGCCGCAAACTGGCTGCCCGCTGACCGAAGCAGGACACTTCCAATTTGTCCTATGTGATGTTAAAAAAAAAAATTAATCTGGCTGGGTGCAGTAGCTCATGCCTGTAATACCAGCACTTTGGGAGGCCGAGGTTGCGGGATCACTTTAAGTCAGAAGTTCCAGACCAGCCTGGTTAATGTGGTGAAACCCCATCTCTACTAAAAACACAAAAATTAGCCTGGCATGGTGGCACACGCCTGTAATCCCAACTACTCAGGAGGCTGAGGCAGGAGAATTGCTTGAATCTGGGAGGTGGAAGTTGCAGTGAGCCAAATTCTTACCACTGCATTCCAGCCTGGGTGACTGAGCGAGACTCCATCCCAATAATAATAATAATAATAATAATAATAATCTGTTGCAAGCACTTAAATATCAAATTCACATGGCTTGGTACCTCAGCTTTGATTCCTACGCTCTACCTCCAGCAAATGACTAAAAAGATTTTTTTTTCAAATGTATTTTCTTCCTCCTCATTTCTTTGTATTTACTTGTCATTTCATAAATATCATAGAATACCCTTTATAATAGATAAAATTGGTTAATTTTAATCAAATATTTATCTTAGCAAGACACTGTACTTTATGTGAGTGATCTCATTTAAGCCCTCAAAAGCTGCACAAGGCAGATATTATTTTCACTTTTTTTTTTTTTTTAAGAGACACAGTCTTGCTCTGTCACCCAAGGCTGGAGTACAGTGGCATAATCATAGCTCACTGTAGTCTCGAGCTCCAGGGCACAAGGAATCCTCCTGTCCCAGCCTTTTGAGTAGCTAGAGGTACAGGCGTGTACCAGCATGCCCAGCTAATGCTTTAAATGTTTTGGTAGAGGCAAGGTCTCAGTATATTGGCCAGGCTGGTCTCAAACTCCTGGCCGCAAGAAATATTCTCACCTCAGCCTCCCAAAGTGCTAGGATTACAGGCATGAGCCACCACGCCCAGCATTTATTCTCATTTTACAAGTGCAAAACTGAAAGTGAAATGAGTGAAGTGACTTGCTCAGGGTTGTGCAGGCGGCAGGGATGGACTTACGACGTGACTGCACAGTGGACTGCAGGCCTGGTGGGTTTAGCCCCCATCCCAGTCATCATGCTGGAGAGGGCTGTGAATACATTGACGAGATACACTCACTGTTGTCAAGGAGCTTCTACTGTAGCAGCAAGGATTAGACAATTTGCGAACATTTGGTAATTTAAAATTTAGTTTTTATCCTGTCTTCTTCAAGAAAAACAATTTATTTAATGAAACTGATCAGTTCCAAAGGGAAAAATACATTTGTAAGAGTTTTAGTGACTCGGATTCATGTACTGCCTGATTCTCCCAAGGATCTGAGCATATTATCAGTCATTCACTAAGGGTTGAGCAGATCATTGGAGGAGAAGAAAAGCAAAAATAGGCTTAGTACTCCAAGAGCATAAGGGTGGGAGGTGAGAGACTCACAAATTGCTACAATATTAGGGAGAATGAGCCGGGCACGGTGGCTCACGCCTGTAATCCCAGCACTTTGGGTGGCTGAGGCAGGTGGATCACGAGGTCAAGAGATCGAGACCATCCT